GTGTGTGTGTGTGTGTGTGTGTGTGTGTGTGTGTGTGTGTGTGTGTGTGTGTGTGTGTGTGTGTGTGTGTGTGTGTGTGTGTGTGTGTGTGTGTGTGTGTGTGTGTGTGTGTGTGTGGCAAATCGGTGCATAAGCACAGTGTGAGGAATGTGACCCGTTCCTATACCCTCACGCCGTCTACTGCGCGCATCCTATAGTTTATTGTTCAGTATGCTCTGAGGGGATGAGGTAGCCAGCCATCACCACCCACCTTCCCCTTTGCTATCGTCCGCGGGAAATGTCGTCCTATGTTGGAACAGCGTTCTTTGATCGCGGCATACGATTAACGGCATATTTGCACAGTTACGTTGCGTTTGTTCTACGAGCAGGCGCGTAGCTACGCTGTGCGTGTTATTGCTCGCTTAATGACTGAACAAAGAACATAATCGCGTCACATAAAGCCGCGCCGTGCAATGGGTGCGTCATCGATACATCGTAACTTGCTGTGCTGCCACAATGCGCGCGGTGTGTACGCGCATGCGTGCGTCATCGATACATCGTAACTTGCTGTGCTGCCACAATGCACGCGGTGTGTACGCGCATGCGTGCGTCATTGATACATCGTAACTTGCTGTGCTGCTACAATGCTTGCGGCGTGTATACGTGCGCGGCGTGTACGCGCATGCGTGCGCATTTGCGCTTACTCTGTATCGAAATCGAAACAGGACTGTAATATGCGTTGCTCGTATAACCCCTACTTAATGGCTCCGATAATGTGATACGCGTTTCCCGATTTAACCGCATTTTACCGCTGCTTGCACAACACAAGAACGTTCTTGAACATTGTCAGCAGTTTTCTGGGTAATCGCGCATAATTGCACGCCGTAAAACGCAAACCGTCATATCACAGCTATTAGATCAACCATCGCGTATGTATATGATCTGTTCATCGGACCACCATCGTGCTTGCTTACCGTAGACAGGTGAGTTGCTACGCTGGGGGCGGGCGTATGGACCCGTTCGATGACTGCCGTACGTGCGGTTTCTGTCGCAGTAAGCATTCACGGACAGACCGAGTGGGTTGTGGCTCGTCTGCAACGGGTGATGTGCAGGAGGCGGACAGAGGGCGCCACCGGGAGGAATAAACCATCCGCCATCTGCAAAAAAATATACAGTATAATAAATATATAAATCATGTTTTAAAAAATAAATATTATTTAATATATTAATTTCGCTACGACATGCAAAATGTAGTTCTTGTTTCAATTTAGTTTACGGTAAATTATTGTTGTAGATGCCACGCCATGTGTCGTTTCAAGTGCGAAGTTCAATAGTCGTCACAACTTGCGAGCATCGACGTTACGCCAATTGAAAAAAGGCCACGATATATTATATTTAGACGTAGATTTGAGAGCTCGTAAACGCACGCGCTTCGGCCCGTGTTCCCATTTCTTTCTCGTTTCTGGTTATTTACTGTTTGACTGTTTTATGCTATCGAGCGGTGATTCCGCTGCGGCGGGGGGCGTGACCAGCGTCCGGCCATAAAGGACCGCTGGTCCGGCAATACATTCAACCGATGCAAAAAACAACGATATAAAAAACAATCGCTTCCGTCCCACGCGGAAGACATCAAATATCGAATTTCTTGCATCTACGCAAAATATGCTTCGCGGTCGTTATATGAGCTCGAATCGTCTGCTGCATGCGCGGGTGAGGCGGCGGAGGCGGCGTCTCCGTGTTTTGCACCTGTCATGCGCAGCCCGATGCAAACAATACGGTGCAATAAACGCAACTTTCATCACCGCATCTCTTCCGCCTTCACCCGCGATGAAACAATGCGCCACAACGTGCACCGCTCGGACTCCGACAAACTAGTGTTTTAGAGTTTAATAAGTACATCGGTGCGTGCGTGTGCGTGTGTGTGTGTGTGTGTGTGTGTGTGTGTGTGTGTGTGTGTGTGTGTGTGTGTGTGTGTGTGTGTGTGTGTG